AAGATATCGAAGTTGAAGCTTAAAGAGGTTCAACAGGAAAGCCTGCCGGTGCGGATTGGAAAGGGATTCTAGCTACTTTTTTCCTTGTGAAAACCGGGGCCAGAGACAGTCGCAGGATTCCAGTTACAGAATGTACGAGGGTCACTTTGCAAGAAAAGCGCTTTGGAATGTAGTCAGTGAAACTTTATTTATAGACGTAAATTATCACGAACTAAAATTCATTTTTTAACATAGTCACGATAAACATACAGGGTGTCCCAGAAGTCGACGTCAAGCCGAAACCGGGTGATAGGCAAAGTCATAACAGCTATCAGAAAAATATTTAAAAAAATTTTATGTATGTGTTTTGAAAATTATAGGTCTTTGGAAAAGATATAGAAATTTCACACCCTACGGCAGTCTGTCAACTCCTGTTACTACAAATATTAACTTTTTTTGGATTTTATTTTTACAATGTAATGATGAATAATGCATCTTCAATCTGGTGTCTCAACCTTACTGCCAACTTTTCTCGTTCAGGAAAAATTGACGCTTATTTCCCAACCAAGTATTCCAAAGTAAAACTTTGCTCAACTTTAACTGGCTGTACTGGAAAAAAATGTACTACGAGAGTTTGGCAAGTAACCTTAAAAGTTGGCGCATTTAATAACGATTCCAAAATGGTATAACACTTAGAAGATTACTCGTTAACTTATGCACAATTTTTATTTGAAAAAAAAACTGATGAAAATTTTTCAAAATTTCCTAATTAAACAGCGATTATGAAAACGCACAGGGACCCTTCACAATAACTGTTTGCACAACAGTGGGCGTCAAAATTCTGCTGATGATTATTTACCTTTACAGCAAATGCTCAAACTGCTTTCCTTCAGCCGCAATACACGCTCGACATCTTCTTAAAAAAGATCGGGTTATTAAACGAGCGAATCCACGGTTATTAACAAACTCAGCTGCTTCCAATAGTCTTTGCCATAGCTCAGCTACATTTTGAATCGGCTTGAAATACACTTTTTCTTTTACAGTTCCCCAGTAAAAAAATCTAAAGGATTCAAATCACAATACCGTGGCCAGCCCGGTCACCAGATTTGAATCCGTTAGATTTTTTTTACTGGGGAACTGTAAAAGAAAAAGTGTATTTCAAGCCGATTCAAAATGTAGCTGAGCTACGGCAAAGACTATTGGAAGCAGCTGAGTTTGTTAATAACCGTGGATTCGCTCGTTTAATAACCCGATCTTTTTTAAGAAGATGTCGAGCGTGTATTGCGGCTGAAGGAAAACAGTTTGAGCATTTGCTGTAAAGGTAAATCATCATCAGCAGCATTTTGACGCCCACTGTTGTGCAAACAGTTATCCTTAAGGGTCCTTGTGCGTTTTCATAATCGCTGTTTAATTAGGAAATTTTGAAAAATTTTCATCAGTTTTTCTTCAAATAAAAATTGTGCATAAGTTAACGAGTAATCTCCTAAGTGTTATACCATTTTGGAATCCTTATCAAATGCGCCAACTTTTAAGGTTACTTGCCAAACTCTCGTAGTACATTTTTTTTCCAGTACAGCCAGTTAAAGTTGAGCAAAGTTTTACTTTGGAATCCTTGGTTGGGAAATAAGTGGCAATTTTTCCTGAACGAAAAAAGTTGGCAGTAAGGTTGAGACACCAGTTTGAAGATGCATTATTCATCATTACATTGTAAAAATAAAATCCAAAAAAAGTTAATATTTGTAGTAACAGGAGTTGACAGACTGCCGTAGGGTGTGAAATTTCTATATTTTTTTCAAAGACCTACAATTTTCAAAACACATACATAAAATTTTTTAAATATTTTTCTGATAGCTGTTATGACTTTGCCTATCACCCGGTTTCGGCTTGACGTCGACTTCTGGGACACCCTGTATAATATCATATTATTCAAGATCGCTGCCGTGTGATTGTTAAACCAGTTAGTTTTCTGTTTCTTTCAACGTATCATCATTTTCCAAGCGCTTTCCACAAATAAATTCCTAAGGTTTTGGAAACAGATGAAAGTCTGATGGTGCTAAGTCAGGGCTATATGGCAAATGATTCAGAAATTCCCAACGAAGCTTGACCAGTTGCATCTGTGTCGCAAGCTTCCTCTTTACTTGAAGGTATGGTGCTTACTATATCAGTTACACTCTTGATAAAATAATTGTTCAATTTATTCTCTACAGTGTCACAGCCATTAATTTCTAAAGACATATAATCAATGTGTACATGTTTGCTATTAACGAGATCTTTCAAGGTTCTCCACATTTGTTTGCTGACTCCTTTGCATCTGTCAACTTTTCTTCATAATACTCCTTCTGTTTTGATCTTATAAGAACAACAACAACTTTGTTACGTTTTTCTTTATATTTTCAGGTTGGTAAATTTGAAAATACATACATCTCTTTCCCTTTGTGCTCTTTTGACCTCTCCATCGATCCATGACTTGTAATTAGTACTTTGTTGTTCTAAAGGTGCAATTTCGTTAATACTTTTATTCACATTGTCAATAAAACAGTTATATAAGGAATCGACATCTCGAGATCCATACTTCCAGTTACATTCAATGAGCTTCATCTTGATTTTATCGATATTGTCACAACATAGATTTCGTTTTTTTTATAACCGTAATTGTATCTTGAACGGACGTAGGAATATAATGGCGGCGTAGTGAGAGACTAGCCAACAGCTTATGAGGATGAAGGGAGGTCACGTGACAGAATGCGCTGGTATGATGAGCAATTGTTTCTTACTTAGCCCTGGTAGTTTTTTAGTTAACGTACGAAAAATGTTATAAGCAATTGTGGCAAAGATGAAGCAATCGACCTGCTTTGGCTCTTGTGACACCCGTGGATCCTAACATGAAAGTGACGTCAGAGATTCGAAATGGCACATGCTCTAAAAACGAATCTCTCTCAATATGAATGATTCGGTTAGAAAATATTTTTTTTTTTAAATATTTTTATAGGAAGATTAACATATTAGGACAAAATTCCCATTTTGATTTGTAACAAACGAATTAAATTTCGGATAATTTGGAGTGCTCGAGGGAGGAATTTGAAGTGGAAGATGGGTCATTTGGTAGAGGCCTTCTAGTTTCAAATTGACGTTGGTATCAAAATTCACGCGGTTTGCCTAGGGTACAAGTTTTCGTAGAGAACAAAAGCCCACAGATATGTAAAAGATTTTGAAAATTATCTTATAACAAACCCAAAAATAACAAATTTTTACATTTCGATAGCCATTGCCACAAGTAAATGCAACTTGATGAACTTGGGTAATGGCACCTACTGTCAAAATGACATCAGAGTTGGAATCAACGCATCTACTTTTGAAAATTCTGACATAGGAAACGAACACAGTAAAAGAAATTGCATGCCGTAAGTTAGGAAATAAGCTCCCCGTGGGTAGGTAAAGTTGTGGCGCGGATAAAAAATATCGAGTCGGCAATCTTTGCTCGCTGTACGCTAGACTGGGCCGAAAAATCGTTTTTTTCAAAAACTTTGTTAATTTTGTTTTGGGATAGTGCGCAAAAGTTTCCTTTTGTTATTCCAACAAAAATGTTTTATTATGTTTTTTTGATTGTAACACGTCTACTGCCCCCTACCAGGACCCAAAATTTAAAAAAAATCAAAAATTGAAATTCTGAATTTCGTTTTGGAATAGCAAACAAAAGTTTTCTTTTCTTATTTCGGCCAAAACACTGATCCACGTGTACGCGTCATCAGAGATTCATTATTCCCACAACCATCGCGATGAAGGTGAATGTAGCTACATACTTATCATCTTAAAAATGGTGGATGCACATGCTAACTGAACTTCTGTTCTTAGCGAGTGCGGGTATTCTATTCAGGTTTTTGGTAACTGTACATGAAAACAGTATCGCTTGAGTTACACAACTTTTATCGAAGCCTTTTATAGGGGAAATAGAACAAAACCATTCAAATAACGTGTTCATTGATAATACCATATATTAATAATGATGCAGTATAGTCGTATCGGTATCAAACAGGTGTTTCTGTGGTAATGGAATGAAAGAACACATTTCACAATGAGAACCGCAACATAAAACCATCAGACAAAACAAACATATCCAACGCTGCAGACATATTTGCTTTGGAGCATCGTATCAAAACGACTCTCAGCGAAATTGGGCTACGGGGATAACAAACACAAAGCTCCCGCGCGTTCACTGTGCGTCCGTTGGAATTTTTTCCTCGGGAAAACAAAGTCCAATTAAAAGTCCTTCTCTAAAAAGACTACCGTTTACAAACTGCAGAAAATTTTGATGATGGTAGAATACGAACAACTCCTATGTTCCGAACGTTACTTTAGCTTCATCTTTAATAGTTTAAACTGAATTTCCTTTCAAATCACGATTTCTTGTGTAAGACTGACTGATTATTGCAAACCAGCTATCAGTGGCTTTTAATGTTTTTGTGTTATCCACTTTGAGATTGCGATACTGCTCCAGAGGAAAGCTCACACAGAAAAGCTCGACAAGTACAGTCCTGTCGGCTACCCGCTAAAGCCTCTCAGTGGTTCGCGGTAATACTTGCAGCATTTCATCATGGTGGGTAACGTTTGGTTAAATATTCATACCATACAAGCCAGCAAGTAGTAACTGATTACTAATCTCTTGATCTATTTTTATTGTGCTGTACCTTGCTCATCACTTGTCGTCTCACTACTCGTCGAATGTCAACCTATTTTCCTGCGCTTAAATGCTTGGCAAAATTGTCAGCAGTGAGCCATTCGCCGAGCGTCAATTCTACTTATCTCTGACAGATAACCAATCTACCACATTCGAGTAAATGTCAAGCTAGAAACCAAACCCATATGGGAGCCTAACATCAGCAGCATCCCTGACACATCATCACGTAGGAGACGTCAGCGATAACAGAATAAATAACACGTATGCCAGTTACTTTTTTTATATATACTCCAGCTACTACGAAGGCCTAAGGCCTAAAACCGTGGGGCTATAGGGGGATACATACAGCATGCACACATTCTGGCCCCGCCAACGAAATCCGCCGGGTGGTACCTCCGCGTTCGATAATCAGAGACCATCTACCACCTACGGACAATCACAACATCCATAGCCAAGAGAAAAATTTCTCTTGGGACGGGATTCGAACCCTCGCAGCGCACGGCGATTGATCAGGAGAACTTATTAATCTCTAAAAATTTGGAAGTCCGAAATAAACCTCGTGAAAATGCTGCACCCACCCTGCACAGAGCTCCAGTTCTTGGTTCAAGATATTTCGCATCCTTTCTATAATGGACCTTTTCAATAGTTTCAGGTGTTTGTGCGGTTTTTGGTCGTTTCTCAACTGGGTCATCTTCAAAAGACGTGCGGCCACGTTTAAAGTCAGCTTGCCTTTTTTTACACTGAAGCAGCCGCGCAGGCAGAAGCCTAAATGCCATGGCACCGCGGCTTCTATGAATAGCTTAAAGAAACTTTGTTAATGCGGTTTCTGATCTGCAAAAGGTTATTAGAACTGGGAAGTCTTCTCAATTCCACAATCTCGATACCCTACTGACCAGTTCTGGATGTACGAAGTTCGGCGCGGTTAGGATGGGAGGTCGAAGTCAGGCGGGTCTGTCTGGCAGGCACATCCAGCGGCGGCATCATGGGGAGGAGGGCTCTGAGGAGCAAAGCCCATTGGCGTCACGGTAAAAGAGAGCTAGATCGCCGACGGCCCGCCGCCGGTACGAACGGGTATAGAGACTGTCTAAACAGTTGAAATAGAAAGAGTAGTCCCCATAAATATTTGTTTACATCGAACGTATTTCACTGGGGATTAACCTATCCATCAGACTAAAAACTTGTCACATGAACAAATGGTACATGCACACATGCCGCAATAATAAATGTTCGCTGATTGGAGCGTCATATCTGTGTCAGTTCAAGAGCTCTTCACCATATCCTCATACTACATCAAAACAACTGGAGTGAAAGAGAACTACGTAATGTAGCATCATGTTGCGGCAGAGAGAAATAAAAACGACTAGAATGCAGGGAACGCAAAGCTTTGTATAACGACAAGCAGCTCTAATCCCATTTGTTTTTATTTGCCGCGGAGAGCAAAATGTTCGGGTGCTGCTGTTTGCCTTGTCCGAAAAGTTCTCCGGTTGACAAATCATTAGTCCGAAACCCCAGAAGTATTGAAAGTACTGTCGCAAAAAAACACGATTTTTTTGACAAAATCAAAAAACCTTATTTTTTCGATTATGACGTTGTTTCCTATTTTTATCCATTTGTACTGCAAATTTGATTAGGGAGTGATAAAGTTGGTGTTTTCTACAATATATTATCAAAATATTCATTGTTAATATTTTAAACCTATAACACCCTGCTACATTTTTATTATTTGTGTTTGATAAGAAAAGATTTCAATAGTTTGGCCAACTGTAGTGGGAAGGGGCTCGTATTAGTTATTAATTTATTTGATTTTATTAGTATGTATTAGTATTAGTAAAATAAACACATGTATGTCGCATACAACTGTTTATAGTTTCATTAAGGTTGGTTTATGACTACCTCACTGTTTAGTAGGTAAATTTACCTAATAACGACCCATTAAAAAGTCGATCCTATTACCGACCACTTTGCCATCATCTAATTTACAACAAAATTATTTGATCAAATCAAGATCTACTCAAATTTCCCGCCTTGCTTTAGACGCCTGATACATGTAAAAGCGTTCCTGCGCAGTAACAATTACATATTCAAATCAGATCTGTCAAAAAACCGTTAGTTAGTCGACGACCTTCGTTTGGTCGAGTGTTTGGTGTTGCAAAAGACTGTTATGGTAAGTATCATTGAGTTAATTATTAAGCTTTTAAAATAAAAATATTTACATTTATGCAAGTATTCAAGTGAAATATTGTGCTCATATTCATTTTTTCTCAAAAAAATATATTACTACTTAAAAAAATTGGACCAAATTTATGAAAACTGCTTAAAATCAATAGGGCGGCCATAGGGTAACATATTTTCATATTTTCCTATTACCGCCTTATATATCGCTATTACGATTATTCTTCGCATTTAATAAGGAGACATTTTTGGAATAAATATTACTTTCTTAATCTTCAAATTAACTTGTTTTGTACTTAACATGGCGAAGTATATTATTCTCTATTTCCGACCTATATAATATTTCTTCTTCTTCTTAATATTTAAAGTAGAATTCAGTCTTGCTTATATCCATATTATTCTAAATAATGCTACCTGGATTTTGAATGCAAAACTGTCTTTTTGTAGAAATTAGGAAAAGATTTAGTTAATTTTTACATTTGCGCAAATTGGGTAAGACGTTTACAATAAATTGTACCCTAGAAATATATCCTATAGTAGTTAATATCACGTGTAATTAGAGAAAATGATTGAAAGAAATAGCGCGGTAATAAGATAAAAATATTTTTTTTCCTCCCCATTGCCGACTTTAGATCCTTGTTAGGGAATTTTTAGAATGTCTTTTTAGGCATATTTTCAGAAACATGTATGATTTATTATCATAAAAACCAATTCTTTAGGGAGATTGCTCTTTAAAAAATCTTATTTTCTATTTCCGACCTATGAATTTATTGTTCTAGATCTTAATATTTTAATTCAGTTACTTCGCTTGCATTACTATTTTACATAAATTAGAAAAAGACTTTCTGAGTAAATTAACTTTTTCAAATAAAATAGTGCTCAAGAAAGAGATTAACTTGACTCGGGCTCAACAGAAAAAGTGTGTACTTATTTTTTTTGTTTATTTCATCAGATTGGCAAAAGAAAAAGTGGTAAAGATTTATAATTTAATATCGTGCTATTGGGTCAGTAATAGGTTTATAGGTCTATACATTTTACCAATTACCGTCCTTTTTGTTTCAGAAATATGCCTGCTGAAATGCGGGTTAAATATACAAAAGATCAGCTATCTCGAGCTCTTGAAGCCATAAATAATGGAATGTCTGTCTATAAAGCATCCCAAACTTTTAACGTGCCGAAAACAACTCTTAGAGATAAACGTGATGGAAAGTACAAAAATGAAAAGTGTGGAGTTCAGCCGGTTCTTTCTAGAGACGAAGAAAGAACAATGTTGAATGGATTGTCCATCTAGCAGCTCTAGGTTTTCCAGTCACGAAGTCACAGTTACTAGAAAGCGTTTCAAACCTGGTGAAAAATTTACAACGTCCAAATCCATTTAAGGATGGTAAGCCTGGAAACCACTGGTTTCAAAAGTTTATGGACCGTCATCCTGAAATTTCCAAACGTGTATCGCAAAACCTTACTACAAGTAGAAGTGCAGTTACTGAATTGGCTATTAAAAACTGGTTCAGAAAAGTCGAAGAATATTTTAGAAGCCAAAATATTATGGATATTCTTGAGGATGGCTCCAGAGTTTTTAACTGTGATGAGTCGGCTTTCTTTTTGTGTCCAAAAGAAAAGCAAGTTCTCGTTAGAAGAGGAACCAAGCTTGTTTATAACCGGGTAGCAAACGACGAAAAAGAATGTCTAACTGTTCTTGCAAATGTGTCTGCTGATGGCTCACCAGCTCCTCCTATGGTAATATTCCCCTACAAAAGATTACCAAAATTTATACCGTACACTGTTCCTAAGGGCTGGGGCTTAGGCTATACAGAGAGTGGATGGATGAATTCAGAGGCTTTCTATGAATACGTTGCAAATGTTTTTTACCCCTGGCTGCAAAATCGTGACACTAAGTTTCCAGTGGCTTTATTTCTTGATGGTCATACCTCCCACATATCTTTAGCCTTAAGTGAATTTTGTAAGGAGAAGGGGATAGTATTAGTCGCACTTTTTCCTAATTCTACCCACATTTTACAGCCATTAGATGTGGCCGTTTTTAGACCAGTTAAAGCCACGTGGCGAAATGTGGTTAATGATTTTAGATTTAAAAACGAAGGGGCAAAAATCAGAAGAAGCGATTTTTCAAATTTGGTTAAAGCATGTTTTGAAAAATGTCTTAAACAAGAAACTATAAAGAAGGGATTTGAATGCTGTGGCCTTTTCCCCTTTAACCCCGAAAGTATTAATTACAGTAAGCTCATGAAAAAATATATACAAGAGCAGCAAGAACCAGTTTGTAATAATACACAGGATCAAAATGTAACAGGTCAGACAGATCATCATTTTAAAGAACAGCTGGAGGCTCGGCTACCTCTAGCAACACTAGAATCTGGAAGTCTCTTCAGGATAAACCAAGTGCAGAAACGAATATGATTTTAGATGACACCACAATCATAAATAATATTACCGAAAATATCAACGACTTTGACGAAAATGCCTGGGATACAATCGACTCAGAAATTCAAGGAGACGGCAACCTTTCAATATGCAATATTAAATATACTGAAAATGGCAGTTTACCAGGACCATCGGTTAACGAAGGCACTAAAAATAGTAATGCGCTTAGAACAATAGAAAAAAACTATAATACCCCGGATACATCACCCGTGAAAATCTTACCTCACGATAATATTTTAATTGAAGAACACGCTAGTGAAAACGACACAAACTTAGATGTTGTGGCCACAACCGAAAAACCGAAAGAAAACCCCATGCTGCCAGTAGGTGAATCCGCAGAAGAACTTATGTGCTTTAAAGTATCAACGCCGTTTAAAAACGCTTTTTACTTCCCTAAGAAAGTTGAAGATTCGGCAAAGAAAAGAGCTACGAGAAAAATTACGCCAGTAGTAGCAATTTCAGATGAATTCATGGAGTATCAGAGAAGAATCGAGGCGGAAAAAGAAAAGAAGCAACATGAGAAAGAACAAAGAAAAATTAAAAAAGTAACAAATCAATTGCTGAAGAAAAGAAAATTAAATCCTGAAGATAATTCTGAAAAAAACGTGGAAAAGAAAATAAGTAATTACAAAATTGGAGACTATGTAATAACAATATACGAAGGAGAACTCTTTCCAGGAGTTGTTTGTGGTTATGATGAGAATGGAATAATGGCGGGAATAACTGTAAAATCAATGGAAATGAGTGGACCAAACTGGAAGTGGCCAGAAAAAGATGACATATTGACCTACGATATCAAAGATATTTTATGTAAAATTGAACCGCCTGAATTAATAAACATCAGGGGCATTTATAACATTCCAAAGATGGAAGAATTTAAAAAAAAAGTCAACCTAGTTTTTCATAGATGTAGTTATGTTTTTGTATTTCAAGTAAATATTGTTGTATTGTAACTATTTATTTCACCCAAGTTAGTAAACTTACTTACCCATTTAAATACCTACTTGTTTTATTTCCATAAGCGGTAATAGGTGACAAAAAGTCGGTAATAGGAATAGAAATAGAAGTATAGGGCGCTAATGGGATATATCCACATTTTTTTATTTAATCAATTTTTTTCAAAACAAGCTTATGGTAATAAACCGCTGACTCGATTTTTTTGTTTCCAATAAAATACTATATAGCACAGAGTCTTCACAATACCCATAAAATAAATACAACTCTAAATAATAATACCTAAACTTTGTTAAGTCTTAAGTAGGGCGGTAATAGGTGAATTTACCTTAGCTCAACACAGTGAAAAGTTTGGCGACCACTGCCCTAGACTATAATAATACATCCATCTTTCAATAAAATGAGTTATCTACTGTGTACTATAATGAAGCGTTTGCAGAGATATGAGATCCCAGACTAGTCCAAAAAGTTTGTTTACTGGCCGGCTACCGGCCTGCAAATCCCTATGGGATTCTATTCGCAATTTCTACCCCTGATCGGAAGATTGAAAGCGATAATGAGTTTAACGAAGTTTGGAGAACACGTACACGTACACACGCGCGCACATATCTGTTACTGACGTGCTCATTTAGCAGGTGTGTGTTTGGTGGCCAGCTTCACTTTCCGGACGTGTGGTCTGCAGTTTTTCTGAAACGACTGTTCGAAAACAGTGTGGTTAGTATACAATGTAAAGTAGGACACATGCGACATATTGATCAGAGTTATTATGGATACAATGTGGCACTTTTAACAATTGTAAAACACTTGCTATTTTAGAAACTGCCAAAATCTTATTAAAACTACGCAAAGCTGTATGAGTTCCATACAGCGTGATTCAAAAAACAGTATCCATATCTAGGACAGTAAGTAGATCCAAAAATAGCACGAAAAGTTCATATAAACATTAGTTTTCAAGCTATAACGTAGAAAGCGTGAAAAAAATATCTCCGGAGTGGATGAAGGTATCAAGTTTCATTGTACTTTATGTGTCTGCAAAACTAACACCAAAGCAAATACATAAAAAATGTACGTGGTTCAAGCAGAAAGAAAAACAATATTTTGTATGTCAGTGACTTTTTTCAAACTCTATCATATTTTTAATTTTTATTTTACATGAATTGTTTCTGCTAAGAAATATTTGTCAGACCGTTCCTTTAGGAGAAAAGTTGGTTTAAATATTTAAAATAACTAGCCGTATATCCATTGTGTTTGGGAAATACACAGTGAAGTTCAATTTTGGACAGGCTATGTAGTATATCAGGAGAGTAATACGATCTCTCCACAGCGTTATTTGTAGATATTCATATACAGGGTGTGAACGTTGTGATAGTCATTATTTGAATGGCAGAGAAAAGCGACTTTAAAGTAAAATGAAATCTGACAATGCTGCAATGCCATTACGACGGAACGCAGTGTAAATAAAGATGGAGTTTGTTATTTTTAGCTTTTAGTTATTATTTCATTAATAATAATAATAATAATAATAATAACCTTTATTTAACCTGGCGGGTGTCAGCTAAAAGCTGTTTTTCATACCAACCAGGGCCAAACAAAATTATAATACAAAATCTGGGAGACATAAACATTGTTGAGTAACAATAATGAAAAATCTATTATGCCAAGAATAGGCATTTTTTTAATTTAAAGAAAAAATCATATATATTCACAGTTAACAGTTACACCATTTCATAAGTTAAAAACTAAATAATATAAGGTATTATGACATATTTTCAAAAACAATTTTTTTTACTTTTGACCTAACAGATAAAACTTTAAAGCTGACAGGGAGCATATTATAGCGATTGGGATTTGATAATGTACTCGTAAAACGCAAACAATTAAAAAAACGGACTTACCACTAACTGTCTCAGCGCTTCACCTGGTGTGTGAAAGTTTATTGAACATATTAAAAAAATCCACTTTTTGTATTTAATGAAGGTGTTCAATATGTCGTCCTCCACTTTCCACACGAAGCTGTATTACGACGAACCCAGTTTCTTCTTACTTTAGGTCCTCGAAGTTGTCCATTTATTATTTCAGTCGCATTAAATTTTTTTCGCGAAGTTCTGATTCAGTTGTTATTGGACCAGTCCCATAAACCATCCCTTTAAGTTCTCCCCAATACCAGAAATCCATCGGATTGAAGTCAGGAGATCTTGCTGGCCATTTTCGAGGATCAGGATCATTTCGACCGATCCAGCGATTTGGGTAATGTTGATTCAAATACTGAATGACGCCTCTAAAAATGTGTGGTGGTGCCCCGTCATGAAGAAACCACAAAAACCACTGACAGAATGTTAGTCTGCGAGGATAGTCTTCTGGTAACAAGGCCTGCACTCGTTGTACATGGTAGGGATAAAGCAAATTTTCCCGTAGGATTCTATGGACTATGGTATGCGATAGTACTACGCGGCGGCCTAATTCCCGAGTGCTGATATCTGCAGTGATTTCCACGAAATTTTTTCCTCCTGCTCTACAGTAACCTGTCTTTCACGAGTGCGAATTTTAGTGGGCTGAACACTTCCTGTATCTCGAAGTCTTTGGTACACTTGCACAAATGTCCCTCTGTCTGGGTGTACCCGTTGGCGAAATTTGTCGCGATAAATTCGAGCTGCAAGATTTGAATTCTGACGAGCTGCACCGTAAACATGTCGGCGAACTCTTGATTCGAGAACATTGTAAATAAACACGACGACATACGCGAACAATAACTAACCACTGTTACCGTTTGCGATCGACTGCCGGTTCGATAAGAGTGATGAATGACCGACGCGCTGTTGTTATGTGTCTTCTAAATATTTAATCTAATGAAACTTACTTACTGACTACTAATTTTGGCTTAACTTAGAAAAACTCAATGCCATTCATTTGTCAATTACCCAATCAAAAAAGGTTTTATATTAGATTATAAAAATTAGTAAGATTGTGGTGTTTGTGGTCGATATAAAGCACTTAAAGTTGTAAACTAAAAAGCCACTTAGACAAAAATCTAATGACTTTTGGACCATGGGTCGTATGAACTTTTTGACTTGTTTTGCACCCCCCCCCCCCTCCCTATTACCCATTACACTAATGTCTACATGAAGTACATCCTGTTCTAGGGACACTAATGTCTACATGAAGTACATCCTGTTCTAGGGACATGACCATTTATTTAATCACCCAGTATATTTTAAACATAGTTATCGCCTAGTACTGAAACGGAAAAAAGTAGCAAAGTAAATCGTACGCCACAGTTAAGGCGGAATCCGTTAGACTGCTCTCTTCCGTTTTGGTACTCGAGGTAAAATATCGACGTCCAAATAACAAACGATACAGTAATTGGACCTCTCGATATTTAAACTTTAAAGGCTATCCTTACAAATCCAATACCACAGCCATGACTATGACTGTGCAAAATGTCTGTTATAACAAATAAATAAAAGAACTGCTAATTTCTCGGCACTCCCACGCCTAGCATTCGAAACACAGTACCGTTCGATTTCGACCATGAGATAAACAGCATAATAGCCTTATCTAAATCATCCGAATCGTTGATCTAGGCTATATGGACCGAGATACGATCTCTATCGTTCTGTGTATAATAAAACACATCATATCCAGCACGACCCAAGACCCATTACAAAGACATCGGGCGGAGTTCTGTCGACCTAAAGGTCGCTTTCGGATGAAATACCGCGCTTGAAGAGTGACACGATTGTCCTTTATACCCGTCGAAGTCTGCAGAATACAAATAGGAGGGTCACTGTCTGCGGTAAAACTAATTTCTTTAGGCGTAAACTTGGCTCGTTCAAACTTATGGAAATTCCTGTATGCTGAGGTGTTAAGTTTGTATTTTTTATTTTAAATCAAAAAGTGAACTATCCCACTGGACTAGTTTGTGACTTGCCGTTCGGTTTTGAGAGAGAAGCACTCGGATCAATGGTGGAGGAGTAATTTATAATTTCCTTTGCCAGTGTTTTCGTTAGAGAAGGTTCCGTATTCCAAATCAACTTGGTCGGTCGCTAGACCTGGTAATTTCTAAATTACCCTGTACTGTTAAGCGTGATGAACTACCTCTAGTGCCAGAAGATAGTCACCACCCGGCACTAGCTGTTGATTTGACTGCCATATTCATTAAAGAGCCTAAGTTTACATTCAATCATAGTAAAATAACTTATAACTACAGAAAGGCTGACTTTGTCAACCTGTATCAAGAGCTAATTCAATTTGACTGGGATGTTCTATTCTGCTCTTCTGGTGTTAATTATATTGTTGATGTATTTTATGGCAACATTTTCCAAATTTTTGACAGGCACATACCTCTGTATAAGAATTACAGTCACCGATACCCGCCTTGGTTTCACTCAGCTATTATTAAGAACATTAAACTTAAAGCTAAATTTAGGAAAAAAAATCAACAGGTCTGCTTTTGTTGATGATCTACAAGAATTCAAACGTTTGCGCAGCTTGATAAAAAACCAGATTAAATCAGCGTATGATGAATATATTGAATATATCCAGAATTCTTTAACAATTAACCCCAATGCTTTTTGGTCATACGTTCACTCCAAAAACAACACATTACGAATCCCAGGGATAATGAAATTTCAAAATAATTCTATAGATCAGCCTCAGGATATAGTAAACGCATTCAGTGAGTTTTTCAGCAGCGTCTATGTCACTCACAAGCCCCATAATAATGCCTCACTAAATCATAGTAATTTATTTGTCCATTTTCATCCAATTGAGGAAAATGAAGTGAGGAAGGCCATTAAATCACTAAAGGATAAGATGACATCTGGTCTAGATGGCATCCCGTCCTTCATAGTCAAAGATTGTGTGGAAGTGTTTGTTGGTGTTCTAACTAGGATTTGTAATATTTGTCTTATAACAAAAAGATTTCCAGATATTTGGAAGATCGCTAAGGTCTGTCCAGTGTTTAAGTGTGGGGATAAGTCAAATATTGAGAATTACAGGG